AGTCAATCATATTCCAAATTAGTTCGAACTGTTATTATTCTCTCATCTATTAGCTTTCATTTTGGCCATTGTTCTGGCAGCACATTGTCTCTAGTCAGACATGTGAATACATTGTTATGTGCAGTCGGTTAGCGCAGTTTCGCTCGATGATGAACAGAACTGTGGTGGGACCCGTCAATGTGACACAGTGTTGTGCACGCATGCCGGCGAATTCTCAAAGACAGTACACAGACCAGAAGAGATCAGTCAACCTATAGTCTCCCAAGAGACCTTCACTGACCACATACTTAGAATAGCCCATTGTCTGTACCGACGTTACCAAGTCTGCTAGACGTAGACGTAGGCACAGAACACGCAAAGTATTTGACAGCGGACCAAGAATAAATCGTCTTCAATGAATGTTCGTCTGTGTACGTTTCTACACAACAGCGAAAGTGACCAAAGGCTACACGAATCCACAAACGATAGGAGTATGCACATCCACCAGTTCGTAGAACCATCTTCACGTCAGACCCGCGAACAAAACATACGGCGAGTGGCCACCGCATGATTGCATGCACTGCCAGCCAAAACTTGTTAAAGCTGCTTGGAGGGTCTGAAGAACCGCGTTGATAAGTCCCTAAGCCAAATCCGATCACATACCTTGATTAACTAGTGGCTAATAGAACGCGTGACATTTGTTGGCCTGTCTCCAGCATCGGAGACTGAATGTCCAACTAACGTGAACAGCTTCCACCCCAAGCATTTGACTTCGCCTGGGTCACTGAATATCACATGATGACGTACTACCAGGCCAAGCTGCATTTGTGATGCTGCTTCCATGCAGCTGAGTTTCTTCCGCATTAAAATGTATACATGTAATTAAGTAAATAAAGGAATTGTATATTCCACTTTTGACGAGATACGCCTGTGATGATCTGTTCACGTAAATACAGTGTTTTCTAATTCAACGACCACGAATGAGCGAAACATCTACAACAGCAAGGAAGGTCGTTTTCCAATTTTGATAGAGTACCAAATTTGCCAGTTGTTTCAATGTGCAATCTGATGTTACCCAACATGTCTATGTCGGGTTTGGTCGGTCTCTTGAGAATATTAATAAGGAAATGTATGAAGCAGGTGTCAATGTGCATTTAGCACATTTGGTCATGGGTATTTGGTATTATAGAATTATGCTAGTAACGATCAAATAAAACTGGAACAAGAGGAGCACCTCTGGTATGTGTGCATATAAGAGTAAAGTGTGCTAAAAACAGGGAAAACATCGAGAATAAAGGCGGGGAACGTAGATGTGTGCTTAAATGACTTGCTCCCTCATAACACACTTGTTGGTGACAACCTTGTTGTTGGCATAGGTAAGAAGGAGGAGAAATGATGAAGCCGGTGAGTAATGGGGGTCTTACGATTGTAATCATGGATCTGGATTGTAGACTGGTTTCTGGATCACATAATTCTCTTGGATCTTGTTCATATGCTTAGCTGTCCTCTTGTGAAATCCCAATAAGTGGATCACATCCTACACGGTTAAGGTCTCTTATTTGATATTCCTGCTCTGAATTGCCAGCACGTACATCGGTTGGCAATTTGCCCCAGATTCGTGCATATCTGGTAAGGAAGAGATTAGCGCATTTGGTGGTCTTCGACCTGCATTCCAGTACCGAATATACCTTAGTATGTGTTTTATCTGATGACGATTGTACTATTGCCATGTTAAAGTTGGAATTATGCACTTTCTTGTGCAAGTATAGCATAAATGAAGTTGCTTATCACAAATGGTTATACTGCTAGCTGTTATGTCGCATTTGTAAGACACAGCGTAACACATATATATATATATATATATATATATATATATATATATAATTGATTTCATTTGCTTAGTTCTTTTACTCATCCGTATATTCCATGTCTATTGCGCGCGTTTATTTTCAGTTTGCGTTTTACTTATTTAATAATCGCTGACTAACACTAACGCATGCTCAAAATCAACTTCATACTAGACCAGAATCAACTGTAGAACTTATGTTATGCTACCGCATATTCTGTGCAAACGTTTCGTGTTTATTTTCCACGAATTCAATGTTTGTTAATTAATGTTACGGAAGACGGTGAACCGTTGCTGTGGGGACGGGGTGCACAGTCTTTCCTGCACAAATGTATGCGATTCAAATTCAGTCATTGTTGTGAAGCTTAGAGAAAAATGTGTACTTGTCGGCTTCCACGATGGTCGCCATAACACACAAGATGAAGCTCGGCACTAACTTGAGGCGAAACAATATATCGCAACCCATGCCAATGAACGAAGACAACATCGGAATTATCTGAAAAAACTCCTCCGAATAGTGAACCCGTTAGACGGGCGCGCGCTTAACAGTCGCTTACAGCTAGCTAGCTACTTTGACATTCGGGACTGCCCCGTCACGTGATTGTGTTGGACACACGCACCACAGCGGTCTAGAGCTAGACCGCTCACCATTCCTGACTATGTCCTTTCATATGGTTGGCTTATAGATCTGTTGATCCGTTGACATTCCGGTTGCTCAGCTTTGTCAATTTTTCAATACGTTTAGTCCAGCGCAGTGATGCTCTTGCTTCTCGTTCGGCGGGGGTTCTGTTAGTCAAACGTTATAATAGCCTGCAATGTAAATCTGTAGCATGTAATTCGAGTTCCCAACTTCTTATCCTGTTTACTTATTTGCAGAGTTAAAATCAACACATTTCACACGATATCGCATTCGAAACACAACATGAATTTAGGTACAGCATGAAATTCTCGCTGTCATATATGTGAAACCAACGTGCTGAGCTTCAGAGAACGGGGAAACTAGATAAACTCAGGAAAGTTTAATACCGCTTCGCTACAGCTACTATCAGTCTAGCAGCTACGGCTTACACGGAAAGCAACGCAGGCGGTGTCGTCCGACCTAGATTGCAAACTGCCACGCGTCGTCTTATCACATAGTGAGACTGTGAATGGATTGCATCACACCGCGCACAGCCACTCCCATACGCCAACCTCCCGTACTATATGGGGAAACATGCACACCAGATATACGCAATGGATAGAAATATTTGTCAGTTTCATGAAGACACTAGGCACGGCTGTAAAGCAGGTAGGCACAGTCGCAACGCTCGTGTCGTGCGCACTGCCGGACCTGATTTGTCAAGCGTAAAGCAATGGCGAACACAAAACAATAGTCGCTCAGGAGGGACTCGTGTGTAGTATCGGGCAATCCTTAGATCCAACTTATCAATTATATGTGTAGTTGGGCAACAACACCACCATATATCATACGCATAGCTAATGCCGATCTTCACTTCTGTCTGCATTGATACTCGAACAGCATCAACGGCATTCAACACTGATTCTGTTGCTGCGCTCGTGTACACCGTTCTCTTAATTTTAAACCAGGGTGGTTGGTTATCAACCGTCTCCTCTAAACCGACAATTTTTCATTAGGACCACACCCATAAGCACAAAGATGAAGTAGACATCCGTCTGTTCTAAGCTGCCTGCCAGTCGTATCCGCCGTCTGCCAACTGCAGACAGACATTCACTTTCGTCTGACTGCTTGATTAAGTGTGGCACGATTCTACGGCAAGCCAAAACTTGCTTGTGCTTAGTAAACCATGCCGTGACCATACTCGCCATTCTCGCTGCTTGGGCTGCAGCCATGTGTGAATGTATCCACGGTGATGGTAACAGTAGCGAGCAGATATCACCGATTTCCTGTTTAATCCGTTGAACTGTTTAACCACGCGGGTAAATGGCCCTTCTTCGCATGATGGATGCTCTCTGCTAGAGCACCGACGACGAATTCGGTAGCATTCCAAGGGCAACGTGTCAGGTAGGCCAGTCTAATAGAAGCATAGCAGAAAAAGTAACGCAAAGTCTTGAGGTCCTTTGGCATATAAACCAGATAACAATTCCCTGTGACTCAAAGCTGTGGTAGAGGGAAGAGGCAGGTCTTGTATAAATCAGATACCAGAGAGGAAAGATAAGCAAAGTCCGTGGGTAACATGGTGGTTGGTTTGAAACCTACCAGGCGATCAGTGCCATGATAATACCGCGCTGATTCATTGACTTGAACTCCTATTTAGAGTAGTATGTAACGATTGGCGTGAGCATGCTGTGCCGTTTACCACGATTCGACCAACTATCCGCACTGTGCTCGATCCGTGACTTTCAATGGGCACCATCACTTGAAGTAGCAGTGCGCTTCAAATGGCAGTTTTCGGGATTATCCCAGGAAGGAAGTACAGGAACAGCGTTCGGAGAAGTCTGAGAACGCTCGGTTGGCGGATTCCTTAGTTAAAGCTTCGATTTGACCACATAAGTTTCATCAAGCCAGGCGAATCGGTATGCAGTTGGTAGGGATTTATAGAGAACAGGGACGATAAGTGTGATAGTAGGGAATAGAGACGATGAATTATTGCGGTCACAATTCTGGATTCCCCATCAAATGGTTCAACCACGGTAGGAATAGTCCAGGTGTTCCATTGCGCATCGTGATATTGACAGATTAACGATGGGGAGTCAAGTTGTTCTTTACAACCACATCCGCGCTCCACCGATTGTCAGATTGATCAGAATAAGCTCGTTCGCCGTGCATTTGGAAGCTTTGCACAATCCACCCTTCTTACGCAGCTATCGGATTCGATAGTTTACGATTGCCGGGGCATTGGAAATCCTGTGTTATATAGGCTTGAGTGCATCATATCCTTAAATTTGATTCTGAATTGTGTTTGCGTCGCGGTTTATACTACTCAGCTAGACAGATAATCTTCGTTCTAGCAAAATGGCATGGCGTTTCCAAAAGTAAACGCAGTAGTTCAACACAACTACGGAGGAGAATGTTGTTAAGACTGTGCTGGCGAGTGCTAAACATCAGTACGTGACACTTCCAAATTTCGATTCTTTGCTGTGTCGCAATCACAATATGTTGTGGGTTTACGGGGCTGATACACAAAGGCCATACCTACGTCCGCGTGTGTGCCACCTAATTGCGCGAAGACCCAGTGAGACGTTGGGTGGCGCTAAATAGGACGTAAGCCCAGACTGCCTGAGAGATCTCGCCACATCTCACATACAGCCAGTGAGGTGGCCGCTCTCCTTGACCCCATTTAAGGACATAGCCAAATGAACCACATATTGGTGTCTGTAACACGCGTCCGACGTTGAATGTCTGCGATGCGCGTGATGTGACCACGTGACTTCGCTCGCAACCCACGATACGGAATCGATGTGCACCGATCATCAGAAACTCCTCATTCTCCCCCCAGCCCACGCCCCTCCCCCCATCATGCACCCCCCCCCCCGGCCCGCGGACACGCGCATGGCACCCGCCCCCGGCACGCCGACCCACCCACCATGCTACCCCCGCATCCCCGCCATCGGCTGCCGCCGCCCAGAAAAAAAAAACACCTACTATTGAAAGAAATGAAGAACAATGAAAAGTAACGATTAGAAAAGTGCCAAAATTAATCAACAAATAATGGCTAGTCATGATACAAAAAAAAGTAACAAAACCCCCCCCCCCCACGGCCATCCCCCAGTTCCCATTCCTACCCACTCTGCTCGCTCCATGTTGCTCACTTACCCCTCCCATGTCACCCCCCCCAATTACCGCCGCATCCCTTCCCCCCCCCCCACATCTTCTCAGCGCCCCTGCCCCCGCCGTACAACTCACACCCCCCCCCACACAACCCACCCACCCACCCCCCCCCCCCCCCCCCCCCCCCCCCCCCACCCCACCCCCCCCCCACCCCCCCCACCCCCCCCCCCCCCACCCCCCCCCCCCCCACCCCCCCCCCCCCCCCCCCCCCCCCCCCCCCCCACCCCCCCCCCCCCACCCCCCCACCCCCCCCCCCCCCCCCCCACCCCCCCCCCCCCCCCCCACCCCCCCCACCCCCCCCCCCCCCCCACCCCCCACCCCCCCCCCCCCACCCCACCCCCCCCCCCCCCCCACCCCCCCCCCCCCCCCCCCCCCACCCCCCACCCCCCCCCCCACCCCCCCCCCCCACCCCCCCCCACCCCCCCCCCCCCCACCCCCCCACCCCCCCCCCCCCCCCCCCCCCCACCCCCCCCACCCCCCCCCACCCCCTCCCCCCCCCCCCACCCCTCCCCCCCTACCCCATCAAGGCCCACAGCCTCATACCCTTCCAGCCTCACTTAAATCCACCATGTTTCGTCTGGTGTACTAAGAGACCCGCAGGAAAATCCGTCAGCTGATTCCTTTCGAGTCAATACACCGATTTTTATTTTTCTCATCATTGCGACTTTTGCACGAGTCCTGAATGCTGTTTTCGCCACCAGCACGACATCTGGGTTGCCCGCAGGAAGTGGGCTATAGTCTTCCGGATAACACGTTCACAAGGACCAGCTCACTCGTGGAGTGCGAGCGCAGGCCTGTCGTCTCAGTGATGCAAAGGCGGTTGACACACGGTGATGTACATTGCCCAGTACACCTTCCCAAGACCATCGACAAATCCCAGTATTAGTAGCCGTATTCTAATGGTCAATGATGTATTACAGATAAAAGTCGAGGCATTACTCACCCCGCCGTGTGATCGGTCAGGAACTTGCGGAAAAACATTTGGGAACTTACTGAGCAGAGTTTCGTCCGACGAAAGAGATCGCATAACCTTGGACGCAGTTAACTAAACTACCGATGTTGACTTTTCCAGCAAGCTGAGTTTGCGCGTTTTGCTTGCTGCTACTTTAACTGGGTCATATGTTGTAGAGCAAATAAGCATGTGCACTCTCGAAGCAGTCTTTAAGCAAGATCAGCGTAAAGCAGGAAAGAACCGACTCCCGGGGGGTATTCAGGGCGCAGTAAACCCTTAAGTAAAAGTAGTTCCGACGTTACTATAAATGGCCGTATTATTCAGTCGGCTTGGGTAGGTGGCCTCTCAGGTATCTGTTTATGATCGAGTCTTAACCGGCGGGCAAAACTCCGTGCTGGCCTGAAGAGATACCGCGAATCCTGGTGGTCTCATCGTGCAACAGAGATGGAAATGTCCGCTGCCCTTGGTAACCATCGTGAGTTATTCCGTCTTATACGGGAAACGGGCAGCAGGAGACTTGATGTTAGTGAAACTATACGTGACGAGAGTGGACAGCCTATCCACAATTTATCAAAACGCCTGGAACGTTGGGCTGAGCACTTTG